TAACACTGTTCTGATAAAGAATTCAGAAGTATTGCCTTTTTTTGTCCTTCATCGTTCACTTTATTTGCAATAAAAAATTGACTCAATCTTTCACTAAATACTGTGAAGTCTGAATTGTTAGGATCAAAAGTGTTTATTGTTCCTAATAAACCCGAACCTGATGCCATTTTACACTAACTTCGACACTTTCACTAGATTTTGCGCGTATTGCGAAATGTCCTCGTCGCCAATTGTTATGTTATCGTGCAAATAAAAATGATATTTCCTATATGGTATCCTATATGGTATCCTATATTGTATCTCCAACAACGGTAAGTACTCGACTGCGTTTTTAGAGCAAGTTTACATGAAAAAAATTCGTGTACAAAAAGATCTTAATATACAGGACTGGAAAGTAACAACTGTTTTATTATCAATATATGACACATGTGAAAATTTATTCCTCTCTATTAATACATGTTATTTATTCATACATGTTATTACTTTTTCTTCCATCGATTATTATTTTTTTGTTTAAATCATAAGATTCAACACTTTCTGAATGACTTAATTCAGTTTTTTTTTCACAGTTACATGTATAATTTGTTAAAGCTGTCGTATAAGTGGGTCTTGTACCTATTTGGGCAATAAATGGTTTTTATAATATGCCCAAGAGTTCCTTAGTTTTGCAAAGAATACTAGGTCATAAATAGAATCATCGTGAAACCTAAACGAAAAAAAAAAGCTCATGAGTCCTGGTCAAGATATTTGAGGCTACATAACATCAAATTTATGGACAGTTTCATCAGTAAGTTGAAATCTACTTTGAAGTATACAATTTTTAGAAACTCATAATATTTTACTTATCAAAAATGTATATGTATAATCTTGTAAATTTTAATTACTTTTAAGCTCTCTTTGTGACTAGTCCAATAAGTTTCATGTATTTACACTTTTTTTTATGTTGCACATGTGAACTTTAGTGATGAATAAACTTCTATTCTATTCTATAAGCCAGGCATATGAGGATGTATGTAATTTATTCAAGGTGGACAGCTGGTTATGATGGAGGAGAAAACTTACCCATGGGATTCACTACAGAATATGCTAACTATTACCTCATGGATCCTTCTCCAGAATACAAGAAACTTTTTGATAAAATCAAAGAAAAAATCCAGATGTCAAAGATAGTTATAGAGTTTCTACTTGATGAAGGATGGGTGAATCCAAGCTATGAAGATTTAGTACAACACATTGAGAGTTTCAGCCAGTATAAAAATGTGGAAGATACTCTTTTGCAGAACGCACAGTTCATTTGTGATCAGGTAAAATACTATATTCTTGAGCTTTGTGAGTGAAGAATCAGTTTATCGTCTTCAGGTTGTAAGCTACGATGTGGAATCTGCAGAGGATGAAAAACCATTAATTTCTTTGCCTTGTATGAGGTCTCTAGTAAAGTTGGCTGGAGTATCATTTCAGAAACTTAAAAAACTGAGAAAAACTGAAACCAAGGTATATAATAAATACATCTCAACAAAAATTATATCTGCATCTTTTTCAGGCTGTAAAACTAAAAAAAGGTCCCACATGGACGAAAGCAGTTACAACAAAACTTGTTCAAGGAGTATTCGAACATTTTTTTCCAGATCAAATTGACAGGAAAAATGAGAGTAGAGAACCTAAAAAGAAACGCTGTGGGGTATGTGAATTGTGTCAGTCACCAGATTGTGGAGAGTGCAATCATTGCAAAGATATGTTGAAGTTTGGTGGTTCAGGACGGTCCAAACAGGCCTGCAGAAATAAAAGGTTTGCAATATTTTTTTCAATGGAAAGAGAGAAAAAGACAATTTAGATATTGATTATTAGAATAGTCAGAGAGAAGCATATATCATATATCTATATGTAAACTATATAGCATATATCATAAGGTTGCACTTATAATTTTTAAATTCCAAACTATTGCTATAGATAATACTCTCTTAATTTTTTTAAATGAGTGTGTTTCCAAAAGATATGTTGTCGCATCCTGGCAAAAAATTGTTAAGCGTTGCCAACTTGCTAAGGAGCGAAAGCCATACAATTAGCTACTTTTGGCAGTGGAATTATAGCTGTTATTTTCAAATTCAATTGGCAACGTTTCTGCAAATTATCGAAAGAATTTTTCACGCAAAATATATTTATTTTATTATTACTACTTTTGTTGGGATATTTATCAACTCTCTGCATTCATTTTGAACTTTTCTACTTGACAGTTACTTCCGAGCGATACAGAGTATTTTGGAATACTTTTATCAGTATTTACAATGGAGAAGAAACTCCACAAACGAATTGCCATTCTTGGATGTATTGATGAAGAGGACCATCACTAAGTGGGAAACATGTGTATACCGAAAACCCATTCATACAGGACAGTACCTGAATCAGGAATCCAACCACCATCAATCATCTGAAAGAGGAATCATCAGGACTCTATTAGACCGTGCTTTCGGACTCTGTAATACAAAGGAAGGTCTCGAGAAGGAACTAGACATCATCCAAAATGATCTTCAACGGAATGGCTACTCCAAAGCAATGGTGGAACAGACTTTGGCTAAAAGACAGCAAGGGCTCCACAAGGAAGAGAAGCCGCCCCAACCAGTACTTATACTTGCCTACATCAGAGGATTGTCGGAAAGGATAAGAAGGATTGTGTCCAAGTACAACATCAGAACCTGCTTCCGATCCGGAAACACTATCTGTAGCAGTCTTACGAAAACCAGGTCATCAAACGCGGACTGCGATTCTAAGAATTACATTTACTAGATACCCTGTGAGTGCGGAAAATCCTATATGGGTGAAACTAAGAAGCCATTGAATGTTCACATTGCCGAGCACAAGAAACACACACACAGCGAGGGGAAACCAGCAAATCATAAATAGCAGAGCATGTTTGGACCCATCAACATAACATCGAGTGGTGCCATGCTGAGATCATACACAGGGAGGAACATTGATTTAGAAGGAAATTCAAATAAGCCGCATACATGTTGTCCAACAATGTATTCAGCCAAGCTAGCGTAGAGATACGCAACATATGGAAACCCATAATCAAACGAAAAATGGCCAACTCTCGCCAAACAGTCATGTCCCGCTAAACCGGTGAAGCGGAAAAAGGAAAACAGAGATAAGTGAAAGTACTCGAATGACCCAGTACAGTCCACTCATCACCCGAAGGCGATTGTGAATACTAACAATCGAAACGCCGTGAAGTAAATTGGCTTGGAATCTCTAAACTTTTTTCCTTGATGGAATAGTTTGTCTAGCCTGATAAACGGCAACCTTAATATTTATTTTCTTTCTCTTGTTGCTTTAAAAATTGATTGTGTTTTCTTTAAATACTGTATCTGTTTTTAAAACTTTTTTTCAAACAGGTGCCCAAATATGGCAATTCTTGAGGCAGAACTTTCTGATAATGAAGACGAATATGAAGTAAAAGAAGATTCTAAAAAAGCGAAGTTCAAGCATTGTGCAAAAAAGATATTGCACACCGTGAGTTGGGATAAAAAATCTGAACTCAAGTACAAAGGGAATGATTGCTATTCTTCTGCAATTGTCGGTGAGTCACATTTAAAAAAATACATGTATTTTTTCTGAACTAGTATTTCACTAGATGATATAACTGTAAAGAGTGGAGATTGTGTCATGCTCAAATCAGAAAACTCCGAGCCGTTGTGCATAGTAAAAATAGTCTACATGTACGAAATGCCTCCCAAAAAGTGTATGTTTCATGGTCACCTATTTTGCCGGGCTACGGATTCTATCTTAGGAGAAACGGCTGATCCAAGAGAGTTATTTTTCATCGACGACTGCGATAGTTTTCCTCTAGGAAGTATTGTTCGAAAAGCAGAGGTAAAACGGTGTTATTTTTTTGAAAATTTGTACTGAAAGACATGGTCACATTTCAGGTGGAGTATAGGAAAACCCCCGACAACTGGTTCGAAGTCGGTGGGGATATAAATCTCCAGGAACCATTAGAAGATGATGGGAAGTCGTTTTTTTATAATAAGAAACTGGATGAAAATAGGTTCGTCGACATTGATTTTCAATCAGAAACAATAATTGATGAGTGTCATTCATGCAGGTATGTTCTCAAGTTATGATATCAATAATTAATTTAGGTTTTCTGAATGTTCATCGGTAGCGTCCCTGTTAACATGCCCTGCCATATTTTTTATCAAAATCATTATATTCAACTCTCCTTTTTCTAAATGAATATTATTTTTGTAATTCTGTTTAAAATATGTTTTCTCGTCAACAGGCTCCCCCCCCTACAAACGACAACTCTCGAAAGTAGAAACTCGTGCGAGTCAATGATTAACGAGGTCTTACCTTTTAACGTGCGATTCATAGCACGTTATCTTTCGTTTCATGAAAATGGTCTTCTGCCTTTGTTTCGTCCGGAAAACGGTTTTTGAGGTAGAAAATAAAATGTATTCATTTGCTTATCTCTATTCGATTTTCTTTCTTATTCCTAATTTCACAATTGTGATAACAAAAGAATCTAGGCAACTTTTTATTTATAGTTTTCATAGTATTTATAAATCATTTAGGTTTTGTAATGAGTATGCATAAAAATATTTTTTCTGTTGCTAAAAACAAAACTATTATGAACCAAAAATACCAAAATCAAATTAACTGTTCAAAATTTTCGCCTCCTGAAAAGTATGCAAGCTTCAGCTCTCGTTCTCATTGACTTGCGTACTCTTTGGAAAATTCCTGGAGTATTCCTTATTGCTTCCCAGGAAACTATTTTGCGGTTTCGCAGTTCGTCTTCTGTTTGAATTAGTTGACCGTACACTAAATATTTAAAGATGTCCCCGAAAAAAATAATCGAGACTGTTTAAGTCTGGGGATCTAGCTAGCAGACATTTAATGGGAACTGCTTCTGGTGATGAGATTCCACGATTGCACGAGGATTTTCCTCGATCCAAAAATGATTATAATGAAATGTTTTCTTCTCTCTGTCTTCTGGTAAAACCGTAAATAAAATTTCCTTGTCGAATAAAGACTTTTTGGTATCTTTCTGGAGAAATCACTGGCAGAAATTCACTCGTTAAGGAAAATCTGAAAGAGGAGCCTGAACCTGTTTAATGTATTCTAAAAACACTTTATTGTGTGATTTTCACTAGACAATTTTACAAAAATGCAACACGTGTTTCGCCATACAATGGCTTCCTCGGGCGTGGATTTTCATCAAGTATCGGCCGATTCTATCATATACCCGTTGAATGTAATAGGAATATAATAAATAATCATGCAAAATACTCCATACTAGAATATGGGCGATATTCAAATTATTGGCAACTTGCCTTAAACTTATTTCAGGATTTTTGTCAACTGAATTTAAAACAACTACTCAGTTGGAGGATTTCTTACAGTCAGATGTGGTAGTTGGCCAGCTACTTATGCTCCTCCCAAGTGATGATTTGGCTCGAAAGTCCTGTTTCACATAATCTTCTGACGGTGCTTGGCATCGTTTGAGCATCAGGAACCATTCTATTTGGGAAGCATTTTTGGATACAGTCGCGTGGCTTCGAAATTCTTGTGAAGAAATATAATTTCTTTGATATTTTCTTAGTAATGTTACTGTAGTGTGCATTGAACGACAAAATGCTATCCAACATAAAACCTAAATATTTGAACTCTTTAACAAATTAAATGCTCTTATCAATTTAAAGAGAATGAGAGTCAATATTTACCTATTTACATTTGTATAGTGTCGTTAAATCATTCATTTAGTTTTTGTAACATTTACCTTCAATTGTTGGTAGAAAACTAACTCTGGAGTTGGTTAATGTCATTAATAGATGTTTTTTTGAAGGTGGTTGACAATGTATCGTGGTGTATTTCATCAGTTCGGACTTCCATTGTCTATACGGATAGTGTTCCCAGATCTGAAGCAGGTCCTGATGTTATACTTGGACCCAATCCGTCTTATCCTTTCCGATAATCCTCTGATGTAGGGAAGTACAAGTACTGGTTGTGGCGGCTTCTCTTCCTTGTGGAGTTCTTGCTGTCTTCTAGCTAAGGCCTGTTCTACCATCACTTTGGAGTAACCATTCCGTTGAAGGTCATTTTTGATGATGCCTAGTTTCTTTTCGATACCTTCCTTTGTATTACAGAGCCCAAAAGCACGGTCCAGTAGAGTCTTGATGATTCCTCTCTTAGTCGATTGATGGTGGTTGGATTTCTGGTTCAGATATTGTCCTGTATGAGTGGGTTTTTGATATACAGATGGAAGAGGATCATGGACAAATCTTTGCCAAGATTGAAAGCACGTGCTTGAAAATCCGACAAGACATGGAGAATACCCACAACAGGAAGTGGGGAAAGTTGGTGAGGAAACAATTCCCAAATGCAGAACAAGAACAGGACAACTATGAAGCCGCCAACGTCATCAACATGAGTTCCCGCCCGCTCACGGACATAGAGGAATCTTTATTGAGGAAAGGTCTAAACATCTTTGCTTGCACCAACATCTGTGCCCACTTTGGAAATAATAACTGCAGTAGAATCCACCAGTTCCCTTATTGATCAGATCGATGCAGAAGAATTCAGATGGAAAATCAGAGAACCACTTCCAACTTCTAACATCAGCAATGAAGAACGAAGAGCCCTGAACGGGCTATGTAGAGACAACACTATTAAGATCTTACCTGCAGATAAGGGAAACGCTACTGTTGTGATGGATACTGATCTCTACGAACAGAAGATCGAAAAGGTGCTTCAGAAAGGAAAATACACCAAGATCGTTAGAGACCCTACTGCATCAATTGAAAGGAAGTTGTACTAGACTTTGAAAAAACACCAAGTCTATTTTACGGAAAAAAAGAGATATCGCTAACACCGCACCACAGTAAGCCCCCTCACTTGTATGGACTACCCAAAATCCACAAAAAGAATGTTCTGCTCAGACCGATCATTAGCTCCAGAGATTCAGCCACACAGAACTTGTCCAGATTTTTACTACCAATAATTAAACCACTGCAAGGTAAAACATAATCTTTTGTGAAAAATTCAAGGCATTTCGTTGAACTAATAGGGGAAATCGAAGTCAAAGAGCAGGATCAACTGATCAGTTTCGACGTGGAAAGCCTCTACACCAACGTTCCTGTCGAAGAAGCACTTCAAATCTGTTTAAATCTGTTTTTCCGTTAATCAGCTGTCGCCCCCTTACGAACGACAACTCTCAGAAGTTGAGAAACTTGTGCGAGCTAAGGACTAACGAAGTCTTACCTTTTAACGTGTGATTCCTAACCCGGTTGCATAATCATCCCAGCTTTAACCAGATAAATTCTCTCGAGAAAAATATCTGGTCGAGGCAGGAATCGAACCCACGGTCTTCCGATCGTGAGTCGGGCGCACTACCACCGCGGCCAATTCCACAATCATACAGAAGAAGCTATCCGAAGATGGGGACCTGAAAAATAGAACAAACTTACCGATACAAGTAATCATGGAATTACTAGGATGCTGTGTACGAAACTGCTACTTCCAACTGAAGGACGAGTTATTTACGCAAGATGAGGGACTGCCAATGGGATCGCCACTTTCACCTGTTATATCCAATTTATATATGGAGTGGTTTGAAACTTTGGTCATTGAAGAAGCCCAGAAGAAGCTCCGAGTCTGGTTGAGATACGTGGACGACACCTTCATAATATGGAACCATGGGAATACAGAACTAGCCATTTTCCTGAAGCACATCAACAACGGTAGGCCTTCCATCACTTTCACAATGGAGAAGGAAATCCACAACGAATTACCTTTCTTAGACGTATTAGTGAAGAGGACCGACGCTAAATAGGATACACCTGTATATCGAAAACCCACTCACACAGGACAGTATCTGAACCAGAAATCCAACCACCATCAATCGACTGAGAGAGGAATCATCAAGACTCTACTGGACCGGGGACCGGGCTCTGTAATACAAAGGAAGGTCTCGAAAAGGAACTAGGCATCATCAAAAATGACCTTCAACGGAATGCTTACTCCAAAGTTATGGTAGAACAGTCCTTAGCTAGAAGACAGCAAGATCTCCACAAGGAAGAGAAGCCGCCACAACCAGTGGCGGCTTCTCTTCCCCTACATCAGAGGATTATCGGAAAGGATAAGA